ATTGTTAAATCAGAACCAAGTATAATAATTGTTTTTGGTTGAAGTTTTAGCATACGACTGATATTTCGAAGCTTTCTTGAGATTGAAAGATCACTTAAAAATCGATTAAAATCTTTTAATAAAAATAAAGCTGGTGTTTCTGGATTTAACCGTTCAATTAATTCCAATGCTTGAAGTGGATTTCGTTTAGCAAACCCTTGATTATTTGGATTATTACTATAACCATCAACAAAATCCCAACTATAGATACTACGATTAAGATTCGTTTTGATATTTTTACGAATTATATATTCAACTCGATCCTCTTCAATTGTATTAATATAAATTATTGGGTAGCGGGCTTTTAAAAAAAGTGCCAATTCGTTAGTAAATTTCATAATATAATGGATCAAAAAGTATGATTCTAATTTATTATTATAACAATTTTAAATAAAAAATTATATATTATTAGAGTATTTCCGTTTAAGTACTCTAATAATAAAAAAAATTTAACGACAAAGTGCTAATTTTTTTCGACCTTTTCTACGACGATTTTTAAGTGTTTTTCGACCTTGAGGTGTAGACATTCGAGCTCGAAATCCTGATAATTTTAAGATTGAATAACGGCTTTTATTTGATAGTGTATGTTTTGACATAAAATAGTTAAATTAAAAATAATTTTATAAAATAGATGACCTTAATAAGTCATAAATAACTAAATGGCGTAGAAATTCTTTACGAGTTTCAAACATATAAAATGCATCTTGTTTATATTCATATAATGGGTTTTTTTGTCCATAACCTCTCCAACCAACAGCTTCTCGTAATAACGTCATTTTTTGTAAATGCTCACGCCAAATCCGATCAATATTAATCAAAATAATGCTTCGTTCTATATTCTTACAAATTCCATTTCCATAAATAGCTAATTCATTAACTTTTAATTGATAACTTAACCAAAATTCATTAAATAAATAAATTTTCAATTCTGACAAATTAAATTGTTGAGTTAATAATTCCAAATTTTTAAGATATTTTATAGATAAGACTTCACCAAGAAGATTTTCTAATAACTTAAGTGTTTGCGCATTCATATATTTTTCACTTTGTAGTTCATGTAAAATATCTATAGTAATTTGTTCACAATACGCAATCATATTTCTTTTTTGTGAAATAGCTTTTAAAATAGCTTGTCTTTCAAAATAAACAATATTTCGTTGCTTATTTAAGATATCATCATAATCAAATAGATTCTTTCGTTGTTGATAAGCTCTTTCTTCTACTCGTTGCTGGGCCGAATCTAAACTTTTAGTTAATAAGGCTGACTCAAGTGGAGCATTATCTATCATTTGTGTTTGTAAAAAAGTTTGGATTTTTGGCCCACCAAATAATCGCAATAAATTATCATCTAAACTTAAGAAGAATTTTGAAATACCTGGGTCTCCTTGTCTTCCACATCGTCCACGTAATTGGTTATCAACACGTCTTGAATCATTTTTTTCTGTCCCAATAATATAAAGCCCACCTAAATTTTTTACAATTTTATTCTCTTGTTTTTGATGCTTTTTATAATATGACGTCAGTTCATCTATTAAAAATTTAATTGAATATTGATAAAAAGTAGTCGGATATATTACATTATCATTTTCTCTTAAAAGACGCAAAATAGCAATATCAGATAATTTTAAGAAAAAGTTATCAGTTAATAATGAAAATAAAACACTTAAAAATTTTTGTGATTTATAATAAACTCGAATTTTGAACCCGGATCTAAATATATCTATTTTTTTCAATAAAGTGTAATTTCTTAATAGTGTTAAAATATCATATAATTCTTTTTGAATTTGGAAATTTAAGTTTCCACCTAAAACAATATCGGTACCACGCCCAGCCATATTCGTTGCAATTGTTATAGCATGTTTTTGACCTGCTTGAGCTATAATCTCTGATTCACGTCTAACATTTTCAGGTTTTGCATTTAGAATTTGGTATGATAATTTATACTCATTGAGTAATTGGGCTAACATTTCTGATTTTTCAACTGTTGTAGTTCCAATTAAAATGGGTTGACCAGTAGAAGAAATTTCATAACATGCTTGCGCAATCGAGTTCCATTTTGAAAATTGATCTTTATAGATTACATCAGCTAAGTCTTTTCTGATATTCGGTTTTGCTGTTGGGATTTCTTCGACAGCTAAATTATAGATTTTTTCAAATTCAATTTCTGCTGTTTTTCCAGTACCAGTCATACCTGATAATTTCGGGTATAATAAAAAGAAATTTTGATAAGTGATTGCAGCTACAGTTTCTGTATTTTTACGAATAGGTACTTTTTCTTTTGCTTCAACAGCTTGGTGTAAACCATCGCTCCATCTCCTATCTGCCATGATACGTCCTGTAAATTCATCGACAATAATAATTCGATCATTTTGAACTATATAATGGATATTATTAAAAAATAAACTATTTGCTTTAAGTGCATTAATAACATAAGGAATCCATGGATCACGCGGATTATACAAATTTGGAACTTGTAAAATTTTTTCAACTTGTTTACTGCCAGTATCTGTTAAAATAATATTTTTATTTTTTTCATCTACTTTATAATGAATATTAAGATCAAGATAATCCGTTATTTCAGAAGCAATAATATATTTATCAGTGGGTGTTTTAATAGTATCAGAAAGAATTAACGGAGTTTGTGCTTCATCAATTAAAATTGAATCAACTTCATCAATAATACAATAATTAAATGGTCGTAAAACAACATCACTTAAGTTTAAAGCCATATTGTCACGTAAGAAATCAAATGTAACTTCATAATTTGTTACATATGTAATATCAAAGTCATAATTTTTTTTACGCTCTAGTTTTGACATTTCCCCTTGGATTAGACCAGTACTAAAACCTAAGAATCGATAAATTTGACTCATTGAAATTTGATCTCGATTTGCCAAATAATCATTAACGGTAATAATATGGACACCTTTTTTTGTTAAGGCATTTAGACAAGCCGGTAGAGTAGCTACTAAAGTTTTACCTTCACCAGTCTTCATTTCAGCAATTTTTTGATTCGTTAAAACAAGCCCTCCGATTAATTGAACATCAAAATGTTTTAACCCTAATGTCCTTAAACTTGCCTCTTTAGTTAATGCGAATGATTCAGCAAGTAAAGAATCCAAATTATTAATTTTTTTATATCGTTTTTGTAATTTAAGACTTTTACTTCGTAATTCATTAGTATTTAATGTTTTGAAATCATCTTCAAAACTATTAATCTCATTGATTATTTGCTGATAATTATTTCTAAAAGAATTAGTTTTTAATAAATTTTTTTGCATTGAAAATTTTTTTAATTGTTTTTATGCAATGACATTAATACGTGTTTGGTTTCCGTCTTTTAAATCGAATTTAATTGTTCCATTCGTTAATGCAAATAAAGTAAAATCTTTTCCACATCCAACATTTGTGCCTGGTTTAAATTTCATACCGCGCTGACGAATTAATATATTTCCTGCACGAACGGTTTCTCCACCAAATTTTTTTACACCCAAGCGTTTTGCATTGGAATCACGTCCATTTTTGGTACTTCCTGCTCCTTTTTTATGGGCCATAATTTAACTCCTAATAAATAACTATTAATTAATTAATCACAATATCTTCAATAAAAACTCGAGTTAATTCTTGTCTGTGTCCAGCTTTTTTACGAGTTTTCTTCTTCGGCCGCATTTTATAAACAATTGTTTTTTTACCGCGTAAGTGTTCTAAAATTTTTGCCTTAATTTTAATACTTTCTAAATAAGGTTTTCCGATTAAAACATTTCCTTCATTGTTTACTAATAAGACACGATTTAATGTAATTTGTTTTCCTAATTCAGTCGGAATTCGATTAAAATCATAGTACTTTCCTGTTTCAATCCAAAATTGTCTTCCACTTATTTCGATAATTGCATATTTCATGATTTACAGTGATTTAAATATATTTAGATCTATCATACTAAATTATTTTTAAAATCGTCAACTTTTTGTAAAAAAGATTTTAGTCCTCTATCCTAGCTTTTAACCGATATAGTTCGTTATAAAAAAATTCAAAGGCTTTTGCTTTATAGCATTTGGGATTACTAATTATGGACAATTTTCGTTTAATTTCAATATTTTCAATTTTAATAACATCAAGTGTCTTAAGTTTAATTTCTTTTTCAATCGCTGAAGATGATAAAAATGCAGCTCCTAATCCTAAATTAACAGCAGTTTTAATTCCTTCAATTGAATTTAATTGTAAAATTGTTTTTAATTGCTTAGTATCAATTTGATTTTGGATTAAAATTTTATCAATAAACTTTTTTATTGTTGAATTAGAATTCAATGTTATGAAATCTAAACAATAAAGATCTTCCTTCTGAATTCTAGTTTTCCGTGCAAATGGGTGTGATTTTGAAATAACTAAACGTAATTCATCATAAACAAATGGTTCAACGGTCAAGTGTTTTTTTAGATCATCAGATATTTCACCTCCGACTACAGCAATATCAATTTCTCTATTAATAATCTTTTTTGCAACTATTCGAGTCGAATTTACTTGAACATTTAAATCAATTTGAGGATAGTTTTGAGCAAATAATGCTAAAATACGTGGTAGTAGATAGGTTCCAATTGTTTGACTGGCACCGACACGTAGATTTCCTCTGTCTCCATTTTTCAAGTCAACTACTGCCCTACAACTTTCTTCACATAACGCTAAAATACGATTAGAATATTGTAATAGAACTTCACCACTTTCAGTCAGCGAAATTTTATTTCGTTCTCGATTAATTAATAAAGTATTGAGATTCCTTTCTAATATTTTAATTTGTTTACTAAGAGAAGGTTGAGAAAGATATAATACTGCTGCAGCTTTAGTAAAATTTTTTTCTGTTGCAATTGCCTTTAAGATCCGAAGTTGATGTAAAGTAAAAGGAAGCATAAGTTTTTTAAAAAATATTTAAATTTAACAATAAAACAAATTGATGGAGAGATACAAATACGGGTGGAGAGACTTGAACTCTCACAACCAAAGTTACTAGAGTCTAAAACTAGCGCGTCTACCAATTCCGCCACACCCGTAAAATCTTAAACTTTACATTATTCAGTGAATAAATCTTTAAATTTTTTTAAAGGTTTATTCATTTTCATCAATATACACACTATAAACAAAACTTGTTGGTTTACCGCGTAACATTGATTTAGCTAAAGATAAAGATTTTTGAGCTGCTTTATAACTTTTTCTTTTCCAATTTGCTTTTCTAGCATTTTTTTTAGCTTTTGATGTTCGTTTTTTAGGTACAGCCATTAGTTCTAACTCCTTTAAATATGTTTTTAATAATATTATAGTAAATTTAATAAAAAGTCAAATAAATTTTTGTTGAACAATTTTTTGTTTAAAATCAATATTAGCAAAATTAGTCAAAATAATTATGTAACATTTTTTGGATTCTCATATTTAGAGAGAAACCTCCAAATATGAGAATATTATTTTCTAATACGCTAAGCCCAAACTTCTTGTTGTTTCTGCACCTAAATATACACGTACACTTAAGAAATCAGTTGGACAAGCAGTTTCACATCGTTTACACCCAACACAATCTTCTACCCGAGGTGACGAAGCAATTTGACCAGATTTACAGCCATCCCATGGAACCATTTCTAAAACATCTGTAGGGCATGCACGTACACATTGAGTACATCCAATGCAGGTATCATAAATTTTAACAGTATGAGACATAATTTTTTATAACTTTAGTGTTTATTATGTTAAATTATAGTTTATTTTGATTAAAATAAAATTTTCTGTATAGTGTAACTTCTATTTTAAGTTTTAACGTGATAAACGTTGAAGTTGTTGAATAGCTAAACGACCAATATTGTACAATGCCCATGATGCTGCAATTAATAATGGTGCAGCTACTACAATTAAACGAGTATCCATAACTAATAATCCTTTTTGTGTATAAATATTTAGATTTAAGGAATAATATTTTTATAATATATTATTATAACTTATATTATATATGAAAATTTTAATTTATAGATTCTGATTATCCCTAGTTGAGTTTACACGATTTAATGAATAGATAATTTTTTACATAAATTATAAAAATTTGTCTCATTATAATTTCACATTTCTTTAAAATTAAAAAATAATTCAGTCAGTTGAATAAATAAAACTTAAATTAAACCATATATTTAAAATATCTTTGGAATAAGTTCTAATTTGTTGTTTTATCAAATCTCAGATCTTCTTTGTAATATTGTTTAAAACTTTAAAGACTCTGGTTGGAATTTAGATTATTCTATCAAACCTAGCTCTTTGATAATTAGTTTTTGAAGAAAATATTAGTATAATAAATTAAATTAGTAATCATAAATCAAATTTTGTCACATTTTCAAAAATTTACTATCATGGAAGTAAATAAATTCAATCGAATGAAATTAATTTTTATTAAAAAAAATAATATAATGTATAATATTAAATAAATTATATACATAGGTGGTTATTAAATCATGAATTGGAATGAAATTCAAAATTTTTTATCAAATATTGTTTTTGGTGTTTTATTACTTGCAATGATAAGTTATTGGATCAATTTATCTATTTTTCGTGAAAAATCGTTTTTATTGAAATTTGGACAAGCTAATACGATTTTTGCAAATATTTTATTATTTTTCATTCTGTGTTCAAGATGGATTGTTGCAGGATATTTTCCATTAAGTAATTTATATGAATCTTTATTATTTTTAACTTGGACATTATTGACAGTCTATCTCTATATAGAAACGAAAACAAATAGTCGACTAATTGGATCGATTCTAATCCCAATTACCCTATTAATTAATGGATTTGCAAATTTAACTCTTTCTCCAGAGATGCAAAAATCCAGTCCATTAGTTCCTGCGCTACAATCAAATTGGTTAATGCTTCATGTAAGTATGATGTTATTGAGTTATGGAACATTAATAATGGGATCATTGTTATCTATTTTATTTTTAGTCATTTCAAAAAATAAAAAAATTGATTTAGAATTGACTAAGAATTCATCTTTACCATTATATAATGTAATGTTAGAATATTATGAGACAAAAATCGTTTCTCCAACAACTACTATTTCTGAACTTGGTAAATTAAAATTACTACAAAGTTTAGATAATTGGAGTTACCGAATTATTGGATTAGGTTTTCCATTTTTGACCATTGGTATTATCTCAGGTGGAGTATGGGCTAATGAGGCTTGGGGTTCATATTGGAGTTGGGATCCAAAAGAAACTTGGGCTTTAA